GATGTGCAAAAATGACAGCCGCATGTTATTTAACTTACCAAGACAGAAACTGTGCAATATTTCTGTTTTTTAAATCAGCCGTTATAAACAGCTCAGGGATAATTTGTCCCCACCACCTACTGTATTTGTAACGTTATTTAAAACCTACCTTTATTTTTACTTATAAACATTTAAAACTAATCAACCATTTATTCGTATAAAAGGGCTGATGTCTTGGTTAACACTTTTTCAAAATGTCTGGATGAGAGTAAACTGTCATGAAAATGCTCATAAATCAACATAATTCCTTTTAATTGCATATAACTGGCTGAAGACTTCATATTGGACCACTTTATTAGTAATAATAACACATTTTATTCAAAATCCCCTTTTAGGACACTTGAGGATGCAATATGGTTTAAAGCAAGGGCTGCCCAGTGGGGCAGTGGGTAGCACTGCTGCCTTGCAGCAAGATGGTTATGGGTTTGATTCCCGGCTTCTTTCTGCATGGAGTTTGCATGTTCTCCCTGAGCATGCATGGGTTCTCTCAGGGTACTCCGGCTTCCTCCCACAGTCCAAAAGCATGACTGTTAGGTTAATTGGCTTCTCTAAATTCTGAATGGTTGTTTGTCTCTGTGTTGCCCTGCGATGGACTGGAGACCTGTCCAGATGGTTTACCCTGCCTCCTGTTTGTAGACAGCTGGCACCAGCACCCCTCACGACCCCAGCCGGGATAAAGCGTGTCCAAAAAATGGATGGCAATGTTCAATAATATCAAACATTCCAGAAAGTACCAAAATAATTCAAATAAGTGAAAAGTATACAGGCTAAGAAAGATGCGGTAATCTAAAGACATGTTTTCTTAATGGTTTTGACTATAAGAGAAAAGTGATGTTATGTAGGTCAAATGGTAGATGCAGGGCCCTGTACTCCAGGGTGGTAAGATGAGCAGATGGAAGGGAGACGAGTGAGGAGGGTGATCTAAAGGAGGTGCTGGGGATGGAGAACTGTCAAAGGTCAGATAAATACACAGGAGCAGGAATTTTAAAGATGACGTGATTGTAAAAAGGAGTTTGCTTGATGACAGGAGCGGCTGGGTTTTGGAATCTCTGAAGCTTGAGAAGGGATATACTGGGGAGACCAATAGGAGGGAAAATGCAGTAGTCAATCCAGATGTCATTAGACTGTGCACAAGAATAGCAGCGGAGGGGGACAGTTAATAATGCAAAGGTCAGAAATAGGCAGATGAGGTTTATAATTATTTATACCTTTGATCCCAGTAGATTTTCCTTAAGTATGACAGATTGTGTGAGTTTATCAAGCCTTAATACATTTGAATAACTTCCTGTCTGTGAATGTTTAATGTTTACTGGGAACACATAAGCACTGTGACTTACAGTAGGCTTTGGTTGGATCATAGAAAATGAATTTAATGACTTTAAACTATTCGGTGACAAAGAACTAACATTTAGCTGATATGAAATAAACCAAATACGTTGGGACTAATAATGAACGGATGATTCTACTTTTTTTTTTTCTTTTGCAAATTTGTTATTTAAAGGAATAAAAACGTTGCAAAGTTTAGAGTTTGGCTTAAATTTCTGTGACATTTGTTTTACAAAAACAGCTGTGAGAAAATTATAAAACAAGGTGCCTCGCTCTAATTTGTACCTTGCTACTTAAATCTTTCACTTTCTCTGTACTGATCAAAGTTTCTTAAACAGGTCGTCTTCTGGCCTAGAAGGCCTTCTTTGCAGTCTCCGTCTTAGAATACTCTCCTTCTCACAGTCTGAAAGTCTCCTTTAAATTGCTTCTTCAATCAGTTGTGACATCAGTCTGCTCCCATGGGCATGTGAGGATCCATTTGATGCTGCAGAAGAAGGTTTATTACCCAATGGATGTTGACAACCCCACTCAGCCTCGTTTGATCTGTTGAATTAACATAATGTCACTGCACTTAAGGAACAGGCAACGACAGCGAAAGAAGAATTGGCTTTTTATATCAAACAGTGACACCGGTGAGGTTACAGTGCAAGCAGGAACCACAAAGACAACGGAAGCAGTTAAAGATCAGAGATGTGTGAGATATGCTGATCTGAATTCATTACTCTGACTCTGCTGTTTGGCTATGAAGCAAGATTGAATTTTATATTTCGGCACAGCTAACATTACTGGTACAAATATGCAGCTAACAAGCACCGTTTGTCATCAGAGAAGCCCCCCTAAATGTCTTGTTTTCTCCAAGATTTATTCTTAACTGTTATCCCATGGAGAAAGTAATCTGTGTGACAGTCCTCCATCTGGTGCCCTTCATCTCTCTCCCCTTGTTCTTCTGTCTGCTCCAGGACAAAGATATCTCATCACATCTACGGGAGCCTTGTACATTGTGGACGTCCTGCCTGAGGATGGCCTAAATAACTACCGCTGCACAACACGCCATCGCTACACGGGTGAGACCCGCCAGAGTAACAGCGCGCGTCTCATTGTGTCAGGTCAGTATGCTGGAATCAGATTAAAAATGATTTCATCACAGACATAATATGCCTTGCAAAAGTCCTCACACCACTTCTACTCTTCTTCATTTATTCACATCACATTTGGGTGTTTTATATTTAGAAGTGTCAAGTAACGAAGTACAAATACTTCGTTACAGTAACGAAGTACAAATACTTCGTTACTGTACTTAAGTACACTTTTTAGTTATCTATACTTCATTATTTATTTTTCTTCCTACTTCTGACTTCTACTCATTGCATTTTCACACAAGTATCTTTGCTTTCTATTCCTTACATTTTTAAAACAAACGTTACTCGTCAGTCTTGGCTTTGGTTTTATGTTTATAAATATTTATTTCAGTCATGTGTGCCATCCAATGCAGATAATTGGCGCCATCCACATCTAGTGAAACCTAGTGTAATTGGATGAGTCATAGAACGCAAACACTCATTGGTTAGCTATTCGTAAAATTTTTGCAGACGCCAAAGGAAATCAAGCAGGTGTTCTTCAAGCTGCAAACCTGAATTGTCTATGCCATGCTACAATGTTGGATTCAGAAAAAGATGTTGAAATGTCTGAAAGGTCGGACACAGGCGAGAGCGTATCGGGATGGAGACGGAGACCAACAAGACCTCCCTCATCCTTGGCCCTATCTCAATGAATTTTTCAAAATAGTCGAAAAATTGAGCTTTCAGTTCATATACCGTAGTTGCATCTGGTTGTTATTTTTTTAAAGTTACTTTATACTTTTGTACTTTAAGTAGTTTTTGAAGCACATACTTTTTCACTTTTACTTGAGTAAAGAGGTCAAGTTGACACTTCAACTTTTACCAGTGTTTTTAAACTGCAGTATCTATACTTCTACTTAAGTAACAAATGTGTGCAATTTTGACACCACTGTTTATATTAAATAGACCATCAGAAAAAATAGATTATATATTTTTCATGAAATTCTAAAACGTGTGATATGTTCACCCCTTTTAGTTAAAAACTGATTAAACCAACTGTTTTGCATCAAGAAACTGATAGGTTTTAGCCCACTTGACATAATAAATCATGTACGTTTGGAGAGAAAAAAATAATCTGTGAACACTAATCTTAAAGTTTGACAATGTTCACTTTTTGGACAGACCGTCTTTGGCCCTCCTTTGTGTTAACTGCTCTTTATTCTGCTTTTTGTTTGCTAATATTTGCTGACTAGCCTCTGTGGCCTTTACAGAACGACTTCATTTCTGCTAAGGATAAATTATATCCAGTTGGATAAAGTTATAGATGAAGCTACCCTGGTCAGCCCCACTGATCCGACATATAAACGGCAGATCAGTCTGGTACAGAGCTGAACAAAAGGCGGGACTAACAAGGATTAGAAAATTTTAAAAAATTAGAAAACTACTGATGTGACGCAAAAACTCCAAGCGACACACTCTGTTTTTTTTTTATTTTTTATTTTGTAATCAATGAAAGATGAAGAAACTCTCTAGTGAACAATTTTTGCCGATTTTGCCTAAAAAGAATCTAAGATGTGCTCTTTCTTACATTCTTAGTTTTCCTAGCGTTCTTGCTCCGTTGCTGTCTTCAGCTTGTTGTTATGCTAGCAGAAAAACGCTGCTGAATTATGGGTAATTCTGCTGCTGAGAGTCTCACATCGTAGAGTCCCGCCTCCTGCGCTATGATTGGTCCAGCCAGATCTGGCCAGAATAACGCCCTGTGTAATTCAATCTGGGTGGCCAGGCTGTAATGAAGCAGCTTCTGGTGAAAATCAGTTTGAATTTATTTCTGGGTATCAGAGTGACGGTAACTAAATACATCTGTCTGTGATACACTGTTCAGAATGTTACTTTAAAATAAAGGTGTAGCATTTCCCTTCCACTTCACAAATATTTTAACAAATATTTTCCTATCAAACTATAAGTGATTCTTATAAAGGAGATTTAAAAAAATGTGAATGCTTTTGCTAGACACCAAAGATGATGTTGACTTTTTCAAATGAAATACTTGGTTTACAGAACTAAATACTGACTCCAACTATTAGTAATATATCCTAATATCCAGTCTTACTAGAGATGTTCAGCACCAATTAAACCCAAATTCTCTGTTCCTTTCAGACCCCACCAATGCTGAGCCAGCCATTTTGGATGGCTTTGACCACAGAGAGGTAAAGATTAATCATCGAGTGGAGCTCCCCTGTAAAGCCTCAGGCTTCCCTACACCCAAATACCGTTGGCTGAAGGACAACAGCCCTCTGGAGCCAGACAGTCGCTTTCGCCAGACCATCTCAGGGTTGCTCATAGAGAATGCACAGCCTAGTGACTCGGGGACGTATGTATGTGAAGTATGGAACAGTTATGGCAATGCAGAGGTCATGGGACGCCTGTATGTTAAACGTAAGTAATTTCCTTAATGCTCCCCCCTAACACTATCTATAACTTCACTAAATCACAAATCCTGTTTTCTGTGCCTTCAGAGCCTTTGAAAGCAATGGTCAGCCCTCGAAAGGTTAAAGGCAGTGTGGGTAGCAAGGTGTCTCTTTCTTGTAGCGTGAGTGGTTCCGACGAATATGAGCTGTCATGGTATCGCAACGGAGAGATCATCTACCCTGGAAACAATGTTCGCTTCACAGGGCTTAACCGGGAGAACCTAATCATTGAGGGAATGACAAAAAGTGATGGCGGAGCTTATCAGTGCTTTGCCAGGAAGGGCAAGATGTCTGCACAAGACTTTGTGCAGGTTATCCTCGAAGGTAAAATACCTCTATAATATATATAAGTAATAAGATGTGTGAAGCTGTGTTAGCAGCAGCTCTATGCATTATCAGTGTTGGATATTAACATGGAGTTTATGCAATAGTGACTCTAAACCAAGCAAGACTTCATACAGACGAGCACACAAAAGCACATGAACGCGCTCCCTTATGTCCAACCTTGGCAGTGTTGCTTAGGCAACTGTCTTCTGTGGTCGGGGAGGCGTAGGAAGAAGATATTGATAATCTATAATCACGTGGAACAAGCCTAGATTATCAGAGAGAAACTGCAGGCAGGCAGAGATATTTCAAAAGCCAACCACACTGCATGTCTGAGAGGAAAGCTTCTGGAACAGTACCCACGATAGAAAAAAGAACCGAGGAGTTTTAATTCAACAAAAGTTGTGCTTTTTTTTTTGTTCACTGAGGTGTTCAGACAGTGAGGAAGAGACAGTGTGTGCACTGACTACTAATCTTACAGTTAGAGCCACACTTATAAGATGTTTTAGGTCTTCTGACAGAGATATGCTCAAAGCTCCATATATACTCACTGTATCCTTCACATTAAAATCATATTAGTTTGGCAATTTAAATGATTCATTTCAGATGTTTTCTTCTATTTGAATTAAAATGATTATTTTAAAACTTTATAAAAACTTTTTTTCAACTTTATCTGATAACATTTCTTAGATGAGCTGAAAAAATAAACTTTAACTAAATAGCAAAAACACAAAGGTGCCCATACTTTTTATTGCACTATACGTTCTCCTCCAATCATAATTAGTAAATATTCTTCATATAAGATAAACTCCATGCTTTTTGTATCCATCACTATGCTGTTCCTTCTATGGACTTCGTTTAAAAATGTAGTGAATAGATTTGAGATAGGGTCTGTTCAGTGCACCACACTATAAAAAGAGATACCTTCTTATTTATGAGCTAAAAACATATTTGTGTTGTCTAAACATGAAAAACTAAGTATAAAATATATGGACAATGATTTAAGTTCAGAAAACCAAAGTAGTTGAAATATATAACTTTATCAAGTGAGTTTCCAGTAATTGTACCTTTAAATTGTTGATTATATCAAAAGGTGAAAATTCAACCAATTCTATGCTTTTGTTGTGAAATGTGGAAAAAGTTGGAATTTGTAGCTTTTCAGTTAGATACTTGATGTTATTTAAATGTTTTATTTTAACAATATAAATTGATGCAAAATAGTAGCTGCCAATCAAAATAACATGTTCTGTACAATGACAATAAAGCCTTACTCTTATCTGGGTTTAAGGTTGGCCTAAGGTTAAATTACCTGTAGTAAGGTGTGCCGGAGCATTTGCTTATTAGAGCGGCTGTAAGGGTTGGAGGTTCAAACTCAGACTGTTTCCTGTCTCTAAAACAGAAACGGGTTCGATAAAAAATGAAAATGACAAATTTCCCTAAAAAGTTGCAATTAGCTCTAAATGAAATGTATGATTTTTTTAGTACGAACTTTAAGATTTGTATTTTAATCATTATTTTTTATAAATCACTGCTACTTTCACATACGCTGGAAAAAAACTGCATTTCAACTTACAGTAACATCGATTTCAAAATTTGGTAAACTGATCAAGTTAAAGTCCTAAACCTTAAGAAAAAGCTGCCTGCTCACATATTTCCCTTATTGTGGATAATATTTATCATGTTTAAATCCAAAATTTTTTCTTTTACAAAGAAGACTTGTCTTTTCCATGACAGCTGCAAATTCCCGTCCAATGTAAGAGTTTTGATTTTATAGCTGGAAATTCTTTTTTAAAAGGCAGCTTCTCAGTCCATGTTGATGTTAAGCACTTCTCTGGAAAGTTTTTAATGGCTTCAGGCTTGGTATGGACAGTGCTTAACGATCCAATCCTTTGCTAGGAAACAGACCAGTTAGAATAAGCTCTGCCAAGAAGAGTTGTCAAATATCCGGCTGGAATTAAGCCAGGATCTCGAAAAGGGCTACAAAACATTACTTTTTTAGACAGAACTTGATGTGGGACATTTAGCCAAATAATCACCGGGTTCAATAAACCCAAAACATTTTTAAATATCTGTTTTTAAATCCAAATTCTAGTTTTTAGAGTTTATTGATTCCAATCCTTCCTAAAGAAAATATAAAAATACTTAATTTGAATAATTAAAAGAAACAAACCAAAAAAAAAAAATCTGGAGTTTATAGCCTTTTTTTGAAAAAAAAAAAAAGAAAACATTTAAATAAAATCTTTCGACTTAGCCTATTATAAATAAACTAATAATTTTAATTCACAAGAAAACATTTAATATCAATGGATGAGATTTTATTTTACATTTCCAAATTTTCTTTTATAAAAAAACAAACAAAACATTTTTAGTAGTGATATGAGGTTAAATCATCTCTTTTTTCGAAAAGGAATTTGCTAAAAAAATGTTTTAAAGTTGTTCAAAAGAAGTTCAAAAGATTGGGTATTTTCTGTCTTTTTATTTTGTTAAAAAATCAAGAAATGTCTACATTTTACAAGAATTTTTGCATGCAGCTAACCGTACTATAGATACATGGTTGAAAAGTAAAGTAGGATTAAGATACGGTTCAACAACATCACAATCTTGTACCATCTGAGGTTAGGTTAAAAGAGATACCAAACAAACTGCTCTGACTGACTGATCTTGTGCTTCATTCCCCACTCTGCTCTGCCTCATCCCCCAACACAGACGGGACCCCAAAAATCTTGTCCTCTTTCAGTGAGAAGGTGGTGAACCCCAACGAGCCCCTGTTCCTGGTCTGCAACGTGAAGGGAACGCCGCCTCCCAGGTGCAGCTGGTCGCTGGACGACGACCCCGTCATCAAAGATGGCCACCACCACCTGGGCCATTATGAGACCCATGAAGGCCACGTAATCAGCCAGCTCAACGTGACCCACACCCAGGTGCAGGACGGCGGGTTGTATCGGTGCACGTGCAGCAACTCGGCCGGGGTCGTGTACCACCAGGCTCGAATAAACGTAAGAGGTGCTTGTCAAATCAGCTCCTCCAAGAACAACAATACACAAACTGTGCGTCTCGTTGTGTGTGCCTGCTGCGAAGGAATGAATGCTGTAGTTTGGGACTGAAATATGAGCTCCAGCTCATTTCTTTTAAGATTTTAATGTTATATTATTTCTACTGTGCATCTCTGAAGGTTTGTTTACATCTACATTTTACCCAGTCCTTTTATTCACTTTAGTAAATCTTATCATGTGGATATTTTCTTTAAGGCTACTCTTAATTGGCTGAGTTTGCCTCATTCTGTTTCTTTCAGCCTTGAATAATGTATAATATTATAGTCTATTTGAATCATCATACAGCAGCTGTATTCATAAGTTAAGGTAATCATCTGGAGTTTTTGCTCATAAAATCTATCTGAATGTGGGTTGTAAACAGCCAGAAGACAAATATATTTCCTCTGTCTGAATACATTCATCCACAGTGGGGTTGTGAGTGCGACTGACTATTCATGTGTGTCTGCGTCTGCATGTATTTACTCAAGCAGCCAGCCCAGCTTTTCGCTAACAGATGTTAAAGAGATTACTCTGTTTACATTTTAATAGATACAGGATGAGACTCTGAATGCATCACATTTTATTAGAAGCCGGGCGTATTACAGTGGCGTTATTTAAATGTTACATTTCCTGCAGATAGTTAGCGCACTTTAATCTGCTTGTCATTTCACCTCCTTACACTTAGCTGCAATTAGAGCTTGTGTAACAGGAGCAGCTTAAAATAACAGCTTCAAAGAAAACCTGTCCGTAGGTAGCTTAACTGAAGCACTAAACAACATTTTAGTGACATAAAAACATATTTTCCTGCCTACAGGTGAAATTATTTCATTTTTTTTTTTTATGTTTCTGATCATCAAACTAATATTAATATATTATCAACCTAATAAATTGTTAGATATGTGTTTTAGTTTGGTCAGGATGGAGAGTTTTCTTCCATGAGAGCCAAAGTAAGACCATACCAGGTTCATTATGTTGTACGGTATGACATTAGATAGAATTCCTGCTCCATAAATTACTGTAAGTCGTTCAGGTCATGATCCAGCGAATTAACCACAGACTACAGTATGTTGGACTGTTTTATTTTCCTAAATGCTGTGTTAGTTTTACACCAAATGTAACAGGATGCACACCCTTCAATATTTTTCACTTTTGTCTCATCAGTCTGAAGAAGATTTCCCAAAAGTCTTGTGTGCTCTTTGGTTTGCTGTTGGCTTGGAGCTCTTCTGTGGATGCCGTTTTCTTTCCAGTCTCTTTCTGTTAGTGAGACCTCCTGTGATTTAGATTTTATCGGTGACCTTGTGGAAGACCTCCGTCTTGGACTCAATTATGTAGTCTATCCACTCCTGGAAGGTTCAACATTGAACCATATTTTATCCGTTTAAGGAAAACTGCTCTCACCATGATTCATGGGAGTCCCAGAGTTTTAGAAAGGTCTTTTGAACACATTCAAGACTGATATCAGTGATTTTTTAAATAATCTGATCTTGATTTTTTTTTTAGTTACAGTCTTATTATCAACAAGTCTACCTGATATTGTCATCCAGGTTTCAGTTAATAATTTTTATTTTGCATAGATTTTGAATAATACGAATCGCCAGAAATTGCTAATTTTTTTTAGATTCATTTGATTTCTTGGAATTTTGCTATTTCTCTGGCCCAATTTGTGGCACTGTAAGATTAAGTTATGGCATAGATGAAAGGGATAAAGATAAATCAGGAGATTCAGCTCGATCTGCTCCAATGTTGTCAAGAATTCAGTTCAACTTACAGGAATCTATTGAAATACTGCTTGACCATTAAGGATCAGTTAGGGATATGCTGAGAGCATCGGAAAGTCAGATACAGTTACATTTTAATGTACTTTCCATCAAGCTATAAAGACGTATTCACCCCTTGTTAGTAGCCATTCAAAATTTCCCCACTTTCCTTGATGGGCCCATGTCCTTGGCTAGTCCCCTACAAATTCTTTTTAAACATCTTAAATATTTTTCTGTCATGATTTGTGGACATTAAAATCTAAAGAGAAGCATCATCTCCTGGTCAGACCCTGTAATTCAGTGAAAGGGTGGAGTCAGAGTAAAAAACTGCACGCCCATGAGAAGGCCAGTGGCTGGAAGTTGGAGGGGATTTTGTTGCCATTCGGCTGGGACGGGCCATTTTCAATAGCTGCTACTGTATTAGTTCAAAAAAGGATGTTCAGGATGTTAGTGCTGCTGTATTACTGGTTCTGGGCCTGGAGTACCAACACCATCAGTAGCTTGAAGACGTCTATTTTTAAAAGAAGAAAAAGGAGAGCCTCCCCGGTGGTGGATTCGCCTGTGGCTCACACCAGCAAGAAGCCTAAAAACTGTCACCACAACAGACTGATGCAGGAGCTGAGGTTGGAGGAGAAAAAAATGATCGATCTATGTGAAAATGCCAACCCATATGTTTGTTTCAAATCCTCAGTTAAGATATGAAAAAGGAGGAATGCCTCCAAAGCAGTTAAGATTCTGTTACATTAAAAATGATTTTATTATTTGTTAACAAAAACTACAAAATGATGGTTTCAGGAGTTGAGGACAAAAATTTTAAATAGCTTCAAATTGTTCCACAAATTCCCAGTGACACAATTCAACTCAAATTAATTTCAATGCTGTATATCTATTCAGCACCAATTCACAGCACATGCATCTGAAGGCACAATTCAATCAGATTATGCAGTTAGATTAGTTCTAATAATTACAAGAATCAACTAAGAATAAAATAATTCTTCAGAAACATAATATCCATAAACTATTAATCCAAACATGTAGCAGTTTGTGGTGATTTGTATTATTCTTGGTCTGTGTTAATTACAAATATATAGGAGTACATAAAAGTTCTCAGAGTAATCAGGTTACGGTGTGGTAGTGAATTAAAACCACAAAAATATGGATAATCAAGGTTAATTCATAAGCGTAACATTTATAATTGGAGGCTGGTGAACACTGATAATGAATTCAATTATATAAAAAAACAGAATTTTGTATTTTACTCGGATTATTTTTGTCTGATATTAGACTTTCTGTTTTATGATTTGAGTAATATAGGAGTAACAAAAATATAAGTAGGGGAAATATGTTTCACAGCGTATTTATTTTATTAACTAAAATGAGAAAGAAGAGGCATCTGTTTAGCTAGTTAAATGTGATAATAATACTTGTTAAGGGTTTTTGAACCGAGAACCAATTCTCCATCTTTTTCCATTTGTAGGCCGTGCCACCATCCGTCCTATGAAAAACATCACAGCCATTGTAGGGCGGGATGCCTTTGTTCACTGCCGTGTGATTGGCTATCCTTACTACTCCATAAAGTGGTACAAAAACTCTGCCCTGCTCCCGTTTAATCACCGACAACGAGCTTTTGAGAATAATGGTACTTTGAAGCTGAGCAACGTGCAGCAGTCAGATGCGGGAGAGTACAACTGCAAGGTGATGGTGCAGCCCAACAAGATGGAATCCCAGAGTGTCCACGTCCGAGTGAGAGGTGAGTGCATCGTACCACAGGAGAAAATAATAACCAGTTATAAACTATACCTAAACTTTAGATATTTTTTTTTTCTGTAAGGAGGACCAGTGCAATTTCCCTCATAAAATTCTTTAATCTACATTTTTTTATGCAGCTGCCATGTCTTAAATCGCCAGCCTGACCTTAACAGCAAACCATCTATCCAAAGGCACATCAAATCTTATCATTAAAATAAATTTAACAAGTCATAAATACATTTTAACCTGCATAGATTTATTTGTGCATGTCTTACAGGAGATTTTAGAGGTCTAATGCAATATTTTGGTAATGTTGCCAACAAGCTGAATATATCTTCCTTTTAACCACAGGGAAAGCATAACAAACCTTTTTTCAGCAAGCCGAACAGTGATGTCCAGCAACGACTGTAAAAGGGTATTCCTCTCCACCATTAAAGGCTCCATACAGCCAGTGAGAATGCTATTAATTACAACACTTTCTCTGACAGCTCATCAAAAAAGACTTTAAACTGTAGCAGCACTGAACTTATATTAATTTCTCTTTGTGCATAAATCACTGCTGAACTTTGGAAGTTATTTGCTATCGATCATAATAAAGTTAATTGAATATGAAAGAAAAAAAAATCCTTTTCCAGTATCCTCTCCTGCATGGCTTCTTTTTTTGTCCTAAAACAAGGAACGTGTAACGCCTACAACATCTAGCCGGTCCACTCAACCCAAGAGATAGCTAACCCCTTTTGCCTTTCCTACAACTTGAATATCCTGGTAAAGTAGGCGTGTTTCCATTAAACTCACAAACCTTATAAAACAAAGATTTATGATGAGAATGTGTTATTACTCGTTAGCCGTTTCTACTCTTAACGACAGCTTGATGTAAACAAATAGGATCAGTTTTGTAAATTGAAATCTATGGGAAAGATTCCCAGTGGAGGAAGTTCACTTCATTAGACGAGTCACCGTATCAATGCATAAAAAATTGTATGATTCATTCATGATATTACCGGGCTGAGTGACTGATCTCCTCTGAGATCTTACAACTGAAATAGGTGATACTAAAATGGCTTCCCCATTATGCCTTCATTAAGGTGCCTTGTTGTCACTGTAAAACGCTTTCCCATGGAGCAAAGAAAGCCAGGGCAAAAAGAGACTGATAGCATAGGCTGGAGCGATGATATAAAGCAAGCCCTCCCAGCGGTGCTGTAGCAAGCGAGTGCATTTGTTAATTTACTCCGCTCATGCTTAAAATGCGGAAGTGTTTTGGGGAATCCCTAGAGTCCATTATCTCCACTTTGTTTTGAATTAAATAAGCTGCTGGAGTGCTGCGTATTTCACTGCTGTTTGAACTCGCTTGGACACACTAGCTGATGACTTGTGTGATGGCTGGAGATTTCCCTGAGAATACAGAATAAGCTATTTGAATACATTATTATGATATAACTGGGATTCTGCAGCCAGACTCATTTTTCTGACCCACTCAGCAGTGGAGTCATTTCAGAAATCTCTCTGTACTTTGAAGCTCTTTTCTTTGCACTGGGATGTTTTACAGTTATATTAAACTTACTTTATTATAAAGGAAATAAAAAGAATATAGTCTATATTTAATCATTCTTTATATATTTCAAGGTCAGTGGAAGGCCATGCTCTTTGTGAGATTTAACTAAAGTTAACGCAGTTCCAGGTTTCTTAATAAAAAGACCGTGGTGAAGCTGATTTCAGACAATCTGCTTTATTGTTGTTGAATTTTTTTGTCCAGGCTTGAAGTATTTACTTGTAAATAAAAAACAAAACAAACATTTTTAATTCTGATATTACTATTATTATCCAAATTACGCAGACATGTTTTGGTCTCCAGAGAATTTTAATTGATAAAGTCCTATCTGATTAGATCATATAATCTACAGAATCTCACAAAGGAGAAGAGTATTTTAAATCACAGACTCTCCAGAGCTTGAAGGGTGGTGGGAAAATTGTTTAGACGTTTTGACATTAAGATGGAGGATTTTTTTTTTTGCGTAAAATTTATCCCCGTCCAGAAAAAGTTGACATCCTTGTTTTTGCAGCCTGCATTCTCCAGAACTTTCTTCTCACACCATGTGACAATCAGACAGTACTTGATGAACAAGCAAGAGCAATGAGGGGTGTAAGGAATGTTGCTGGAAACTGGGCTTCTGGAGACCTTGCAACTGAGGGATGTGTTTTTTGCTTACTTTAACCCTTTAAAGCCAAGTGTATCATATTTGATACATGAGTTTTTGAGACTTCTGCATCAATAGTGTCATGTTTTTGTTGTTGAAACACTGACTTAAATATTCAGACACGTGTAATGCACAGAAAATAAAAAAACTGATTATAACGCAATTGCGTAATGTATCACATTTGATGAAAAAAAATTCTAATTTAACTAATACATTTTGCAGAAAGTTCAATGACATTTTCATTTTGAGACAATTGAATGTTCTGTCAATTTTTTCATGGTTCAGGCTTTAAAGGGTTAATTCACCTGAGGGGTGTGTTGCTTGGTATAATTACCCCCAATGTGATGCTCTGTGCACCTATTTAATGACCTGACAGTTTTTTGTTTGGACTTGTTAAATATTACTGTTCACATTTCATGTTTTTTATAATGACTTCAATCTTAAAGTAATCCTGTGTTTCTGGACTCTCACTATGAATAAAGCTTATTGTGTTGATCACCAATTAAACTTCAATGCTTCTATTTTTTAGTGATACATTACATTGGTGCATTTCTTTAAGCTATTGGTGAACAAATAGATTATTACATCTCATCCAAAGAGAATTTATGTAGGTTGACAAAGCAAATTAATGCTTCGTCGAGATTATTTTGGAAAACTTCTAGTAGGGAACTGTAAAACCGGATGTTGTGTTCCTGTCCTATATCTCTCCCTAGCCCAAACTGAAGTGGATACCCTTCTGAAATTAGAAGCTCATCCTAAATTAGGAATAGCATTGCATATCTATGCGCTTTTACGTGTCTGATGTAAATCATTTTACTGTTTAAAACGGAAAGCTGTGACACGCGTGTTGTGTCCGTTGTCTTTACTGTGCCAAAATGACCTGATCTCTAATGGCCAAAATATTAAAGACCTGTGCTTTAAAATCTGTGAACACCTAAAAATATAATTTGGTATTTTTTATTCTCCTCTTGTCTGCAGTCCCTCCTTACATCCAGCCCTTTGAGTTTCAGCGTTTCACTATCGGTCAGCGTGTGTTCATACCTTGCGTGGTCATGTCGGGCGACCGGCCTTTGGACATCACCTGGCAGAAGGACGGACGGCCTATTCCTATCAGCTTGGGCGTGACAGTCGACAATATCGACTTTACCAGCTCGCTGCGGATAAACAACCTGACACCTGACCACAACGGCAACTACACCTGCATCGCCCGCAATGAGGCCGCTGTTGTGGAGCACCAGAGTCAGCTCATTGTTCGAGGTCTGGTGGCAAACTAACTTTAAACTCACCGCAGGCTTTTATTAGAGATTCATCTAAGTTTTATAGCTCATTTATGATATACAATGTTTCTCAAGATTTAAAATGCTAATTTAAGTTGTAAACAATTGAAAAAAAAAATGTTATTTGCATAAAACATTTGGTATTGCAGGCCAATAACGACCTCAGCGACTCCCCATTACTAAGGGGTGGACCAGTTTTTTCAGTTAAATTTGCATATTTTCTAAGCCATAACAAGGCTTTGTTTGGGCTGCTCCATAAAGCTTAGAACTCAACGCTAATCCAGACATTTTGAATTGAGACAGCTTCCTGGATGGGAAGTGAAGATCTTCACACTTGGAAAACAAATTCCAGTGGTTTGTTTTTTAATTTTTTAAAACTCTTTTGGAACGACTATGATCTGGATGACTGAGAATCTTCACCAGCATTTTGCATAAAAAATATCATTGATATTTCATGGATCGGTCTTTAGCTTTTAATTTTAGTTATTAGCATGGTTTATCAACCAGTCATTAAAAAACAGACTGTTTGATTACAGATAACTTAGATTCCAAGAAGCTGTAAACATTTTTAAATCCAGCAGTATTCCTAAAAAAGGTATGACTCCTCTAAAACAGCAAAATACTGGAATTCTATCAGAACTATGCAAGAAAAAAATAACATTCAACAGCTTATATCTCTGTGCATTCCTTTGTTTTTATTGATAATAGGGGTGAAACAATGAATCGGAATAATGCAGATGAATCGATTATTGAAATAATTGTCAACTGATTCAGTAATCAATTAATCATTAACCGGAGTGTAGATACTCTAAAACATGCCTTTAGCTGACAGAACAACCCACTTAGAGCAGTAATTTTACCAAACTTTTAAATATATATATATATATATATATATATGTATATACATATATATTTTGCCTTTGAGATAAAAAAAAAAATAACTTTTAATCTGTCAATATGTTTCATCCAAAATTCCTCAAGTGGAAAAGATTTTGTTTGACCTAGTTTAATTAAAAAAAGAAAACAAGTTTTTAAGGAACCTTTTTGCTTTATGATTTGTAATCGATGCATCATAAAAATAATCAAAAATATTCAACAGACAGCAAAATAACCATTTGTTTCAGCCCTAACTGATAATAGTCCCAACTAAACGTTACAAATCCTGTAAAAACTATTGCATTATTCAAAGTCATCAAATGCATTCTGCATAACAATAAACTTGTTATTCTTTTGTCTTTGTGTCTGGGCATAGTTCCTCCTCAGTTTGTGGTTCAGCCTGAGGATCAAGATGGGATCTATGGGAAAACTGTGACCCTTAACTGCTCCGCTGAAGGCTATCCACCACCCACTATTGTTTGGGAGCACTCCAAAGGTACATTAAGCACAGATGATTTGAGGGTTTGCAGAGTCTCCACCTTAATCATTAGAAAATTAAGGTGAGGCACTGGCTGACTGAAGTAGATGAATTAGGGAACAGCAGGGCAGCAGGTGTATTCAGCCACTTGGGCAGTGCAGATGAAGAGAGGGCCCAGATGCTTGCTTCATCATCCATAAAACCTGGATGAAAGAGAGGAGTGTGTTTATATAAGTGTGTGTGCATGCCAGCAACCCTCAATGGTCAAAGAAATAAAAGACTCAGTTGTGTTTTTCTGTCTTTGATGGACTCTGTGGATCAGTGGATGTATGAGAGACAGGCTTCAGGCCTTATTAACTGTGGATCAGATCACTCTGGATAACCCTAAATAGACATTAATTTGTAGCATTTAAATAAGCTTCACAGATCAGCATGGAAACAAATGTAAACCACTGTGCAGGTTTCACTTTGTGCTATAAGTTTTTTTTCTTTTTTATCAAAAATAATCTAGATCTATGTGCATGTATATAGTTACCTTAGAATAGATGGGAAATCTCTTTATTGTCCCACAATGGGGAAATTGTGATTAGATCATAATTGCTTATTATTATAATTGGTTATATAATTGTTTGTAAATATTATTTTCATCACAAACACTCCCAATCACTGCCTAAGGGGTAGCATCAAGAAATAACTTTATTGAATTTGTTAGATACAAATTATGTTAATCGTTCTAAACATTGATAAAATCATCTCCCGTTTGAAAAAAAAACCAAAATGATAAGAGAAATAAATTCATTGGCATCTATCAATGTAGAAATGTTTAAAAAGTAATCTATACTGACTTTGGGATTTCAAGAAACCACAAGAGAGTTATATGAATAAAGATGGTTCATTCCTAGTACTTCCTTTCATGGATCATCCATAAGAAAAATATATTTTAAGACATTTTGTGTCCCATTTCATCTGGTTTAAAACTAAGACAGCATTTCAGAAGATAAAACATAATTTTGATTGCCAAATTGGGTGGCAGTGCTGTAATGTTCCTGTATGGGTTTGCGTTTTGTAAAAGCCTGATAGTGTCACTTATGACTGCTGGTTTTTACAAGAAAATTTTGCTAAACTTCATTCGGGTTAAGACAGAGATCCAGAGAAAACCAGAAATGTCCCCTATTACAAGCTGATGTTAAACCAATGTCTAGGATTGGTCTAGTCAACAGCTGGTATTAAATCCAACTGAAAAATGCAACCTTAAACAAAATGTCTGTGCACAAAAACACACTGGGAAATGAGAAAAAACTTCTACAACCATTAAAGAGGAAGAACAGAAGTCTGGTTGTAGTTAGTTGTTTTGTGTGATAGGTGGGTGTGTTAGTGTAGGAGGTATTTTTTATTGCAAACCACTAAAAAGGATAAAAAAAGCCTCAATCTAGGCACATGACATTAGGTCTTGGATAGATGGACTGTGAGTATAGGCCATAATTGAACAAACTACTTACAGTATATACCGTAGTAAGTAAGTAAGTAAGTAAACTTTATTTGTATAGCACTTTTCACAGACAAAGTCACAAAGTGATTCACATGATAAAATATAAACAACACAAATAGAATAGAATAGAATAGAATACAATACAATACAATATATTGCATTGTAATATAATATAAAAAAATGCAGTTTAATGTTAAAAGTTGCTTGTTTTTACTCATTCTGTGCTGCTGCACAATAGGATTCATTTCAGAGGGGTAAATTAACCCATTCATGTTCAGTTTTTAATAAATCTCATACAGACACAAAATGTCTGTTGTGAAATTTAACAAAATCTACATCTATTTTTAAATTATTCGAAAATCATAGATGTAAAATTTGTAATCAGAGTATAACAGAGTAAAGATACAGAAAAAAATCGTTGTTCTCATTTAAAGAGAATATACAGTAAGAATTTCACTGACTAGACTCAAGGCTGTCTAACCTGCTCTGTGATCTCGTTCAGGATGTTTTCAGCCTGTACCAATCATGTTTAACATGAGCATTATGTCTATGCTGATTGCATCACTCCAGCAGCTCAGACCTTGGTTTGTGTCTGCTCAGCAGCTGGTGATTTAAGGATTTAGGCCTTCTGTTAAGAAACATGTTTACAGTCCTCTTTAAATCTGACAGACTTTGTTATCAAATCTGTTAAAGCAGCGGCACGGTCACACACATAAGCACACACAGATGTGTTTTGAGTCCTGTATGAACTACACAAATCTGTTTTTTCCCAGACACATGTTTTTCTGCCTAATCTTCTTGCATCAGGTGCCGGAGTCCCCCAGTTTCAGCCCATCCTGCTGAACAGCGGCTCTCGAATCCAGCTGCTGAGCAACGGTTCGCTGCTTATCAAACACGTGCTGGAGGATGACAGCGGCTTCTACCTGTGTAAGGTCAGCAACGACGTTGGAGCTGATGTCAGCAAGTCCATGTACCTCACTGTCAAAAGTAAGAACTGGTCTTTATCAGTGATCTGTTGCTCCATAAGGCAAATAATCACTTTGCATTTCAAAGTCTGATTTTTCTCTTTGTGTTTGCATGAAACCTGCTACAAGCATCTAACTTCAAGTTGCAAAATTAGATCAATGAATGATGTAGTGTTAGTACATCATGTTACCTTTTTATTGTCATATACTTTCAAAAATGATCCCAAAGGCATCTTATGTTCTTAACGGCACCTCAACCTTTATTACAGATAGAATATGTATGTTCTTTAAGATTAGGGTTGATCCAAGATCAGTACTTAAATAAGCACTTGAACAGATGTTAAGATAAACTAGTAATATATGAATGCATAAATAATCACTAACAGTAAAATCTGCTTACCAATGATTTAAATAAACAAGTAAAAACACAAGAGAGCAGTTTTATTGACAAAGAACAACGATAATCAACCCACTTTCTAAAAGTGGTTAGGTGATGATGAGAAATCGTCCAAAGTGGGGCAGAGAAGCAGGACTAAATCTTGAAGTAGATGTTTTCAACAATAGAGAAACTATAATCCATCTTAATCTGACATCATGGCCAGGCTCTGGCATGGTATTATTCGGGGGGGGGGGACTTTCTCTGGTTCTGTACTACTGTAACCCCTCTCCCCAGTTGTGGGAGAGTGGTTGTCATGAGGGGGTAATCAACCAATGATTGGTGGATTTAGAATGACGTCAAGCATTCAACATAAAATCACATTTATCAGATTATTCTAAATGCAACAACTATTTCATGTCTGGGGATGTTTTCACTTTCAAGGTTTCAACATTTAAAAAGTCGATTGGATAAAAGCCAGACTCACATTTCAGGTGTTAGCACAGGGATTAACATTTAGCAGCTAATCATTGACTAAGTCAAAGACTGCCTGATTCCTAATCTTCCTAATAGAATCATTTATTTAGGAGGAACTTGAACAAATGTTGACAGACATTGATGATTTTTGTTTTTCTCGTTTTTAGAAAAACAACTACCAAATTCATTTCACTAAAAATGTTTTTTGTTTAATTTTGTAACCTTGTTGACATTTTAAAGGGATTTAAAAAGTAAGAAATTTGATTTAAGTCAACAACAAAGCACTAACAGGGTTGTGATAACATATAGTGAATTCAAACAACCTTATTATGGTCATCACTTTTAAACATATTCATTGAAAAAAAAATTTGACTGAAGTACTTTAACTACAGCAAAAGCAGCACTAGTTCCTGTACACTGCAAAAATGTCATTCTACATAAGAATTGAAGAGGTAAGAGAGACACTGCCAATGGAACAAGAAAATTTACATTTAAAATAAGAAAAAAATCAATTGCATTGTCTGATTTCAAGTGCATATTATCTAATAATCTTATTTTGAGAGTAAAAATACTAATTCCATTGGCCAGTTATCTTGTTTATCCACTCAAATAAAGGGTAAATACACTTAATTTTAGATTATTTTTTTTTACTTATTTCTAGATCGTTCTTTTGCAGTGTAGTAGAGTTCTAGACTTTACTGAGCATCGGCATGTACCCCCCAGGGCCCCCCTGCAGTGCTAGAAGTGGCTCCTCATTTTCATGGTGCTTAGATGTGAGTGGAGCTTATTTTCACTTTGCTACAGTCATCAAACTGGAGTAGGAGCCTCCCTGCTGATGGGCAGCCCTGTCTCTGTTTCATCCTGCTCTCTGTCTCCTTCTCCTCTCACCCCTCTGATATATGGAAACGTGTACGTTTTACAAATCAGCACCACAATAGAAGAGATTTTATCTATAAAAAAAAAAAACAGTCTGACCCTGATGCGCAGCCAGTCTGAGTGAAAATATGTGGGGATTGTTCCTCCTGGGTTTTAATATCAGTAATATCTGTTGACATGTCGTAGATGCCTATGTGTCACTGTGATTAGGTCTTCCAGTGTTCAAAGCTTGGAAGCTGTCAGCACTGCAGTAGCCCGCACAGAGACAAACATACTGTGTTTTTATAGGTCAGTTTTCTGACTGTGGCATCCAGTTGCTATGCAGAAAGCTGACCTATGGCTGGACTGTAACCGTATTTATCTAGTTTCATTCAAAGTGAGGGAAAACATTTTGCTTGAAGCTACTCTAGGCTTCATCATAACAATCTGCAGCTAAAAATTCAGAGTTTTATCCAGAATACTATCCTGCATTTGACACTGTAAAAGCATCTGTAATGGTCACATTGCTCATCATATCGGCACACACTTTGTTTTAATGATCTGTGGAGGATGATTGTAGTAGAAAAGCACATCGTTTTTTTTTAGAGGCTGGTATCATTTGCCTCCTGCTGGTGGACGCACATGCAGTTTACACACATGTGGTGAGGAGCGATGTGAGTCACGTGACGGTATATTTCTCTCACTCTGCTCCATTGCTTAGAGACAGAATCTCTCCTAAAAAAAATATTTTTTTTTTCTCTGCATTTATGCATTTATTGATTCCGAGGATCTAAACAGCAAGAACAGGGCTATAAGCTTTTTTTAAATTTTGTTTATATTACTGTAAAACGCTCTGTCAATGTTTAAGCAGATATCTAAATTAAAATGTCTTACATTATATATACATATACATTATATATATATATATATATATATATATATAAATTATTATAATTTTTTTCTCCAGGTTTTTATAGTCATTACACTGTCACCGGTAGAGAGCAACGAAATTAACTCTGCATTTAACCCATCACCTTGGGGAGCCATGGGCTGCCATTGTGCGGCGCTTGGGTAGCAGTGTCGGGTTAAGGGTCAGGAACCCAGAGTGGCAGTCTGTGGGAGTGGGGCTGGAACTCAGAACCTCTGGGATCAAAGTGCAATGCCCTAACCACTAGGTTGCCACTCCCCCATATATATACATGGGATATAGCTAAACCAATCTCCCATCCGATTTTTTTCATCTGGAACCTTTGCGCCACACGTAAGAGAAACCACGCTCTCTGCACATATTCACCGCAGCTATGGAGTTTATATGGAACAAAAGCATATTAGCTTTAATCTGTTATGTTAATTCATCCTTTTGAGAAGGAAAGCCTAACTCCCCTGCCTTTGTAGTCCGTTCAAGCATGAGGAAAATAAGGCAGACGAGTTAGCCCTGCGTTCTGATTAAATGAGCTAATAATCATTTTAGGATTTGGCAGCAACAGAAACTGTCCATAAAGGACTATGGTTATAGGAAAAGCCTTAACAAAAAAGAAGACCGTGACATCTTTTCAAAAGTAACTGTTATTGTCTGAATGCAGTATTTAATGTAGCTGTACTATAAACATCACTCATCTTTGTAATGAAAATTGGTGATTAATAACATTTAGCTTATTTTTAAGCTAAAATTCTTTGGTCCTATTGTAACTTATCCTAAAGAGCAACAAAACCTTTAAATGTACATTTATTATAGCTCCTGCCTCATCTTCTATAATGTTTTTGGCTTTATCTAGTGGATATAGACAGCTTTATGGCTTTTCTATAGTAACATTAAACTTGAGTGTGTTTGTTTAGAATGTTTATGGTTCCTTCTAAAGGAGATTAAAAGGAACAAGGATATCCATTAACTGTTATTAAATGGATTCATAAATTTAATCAAATTCAACATATTGCACTTACTCAGTGATTCAGTATGGACATGATGCTGCCTCAATCATAAATTCCAGATAAGCTTTACTACTAATTTTTCTTTTAACAATTGTTGTGTTTCACAGATGCAAAGCCAAAGCTGCCCCATAATCAAACATGTCATCAAGTTTCATCAACTGTTTGCAATGTTTCAAATTACATTCACTGTATTTAAACCTGGATAATATTTTTCTTGCAACATTAAAATGTCTTTTATGATTTAGTCGGGCTTGGGTGCAGCCCTGTTTTCTTGTTGGCATGGCATAAAAACTATATGTGCTATTCTAAACCCTGCCGCCATTGGCTGCTGTAGTCATTACATGCTGGCTCAGCCACACTCTTTTCACTCATCAGCAGATCACATTTCACATTTCAATTCCCAAAATGTACTTATGTATTCAAGATGCTTTCAATAAAAGAGTACTTACTCGCATGAGTGGTTTGAAAAGTGGAGACCATTACTGTATTCCTGTTCACCAACACTATTATATCTGCAGCTCAGTGTTTGTCTGTTTGCATGTTTAACTAAATATTACTTGTCATTTGTAAGCATGCATACTAAGGGTATATTTTATTACGCTGGTGTTGGTGTATCCATGCGTGCTGCAATCCTTACATTGTGCCAGCATGCAGCGTGTGCAGTTGTGAATGCCTGCGTGAGACGATTGAACTCTTGAGTGCATTTCTGCCTCATTTAAATCAGTCAATACCTCAATTAGAAGCTGCCATGAGGCTCAAGGGAGGAACGGGCTGCATGTTTCTCTGCTTTATTTGCACTCTCAGTCTTTCTCTGTTTATAAATGAACAGCTGGTAAAGAAAGACGCACAGGTGAAAAATAAAACCAAATTTGCTTTATCTGAAATAAAAAAAAAGAAGATTTAGAGTTGTGTTTGATTGTGAGGTTGATATCCATAGAAAAATTTACATTGGTTCGCCTTGCTGGCAATATTTTAAATTTAGACGTGCTTCAAAGTATTTAAACATTAGTTTGCTTATAGTTTTATTGGTAGGTAATATGGACGTGGCATTTGTTTTGGAGATTAATAGGATTTTTTCAGTCGCTGACAACAATCTAAATCCTCAAAATATGTTTGGCTAATATTGAGCCGAAATCTGCCTAGGATTAATAAAGTTTTTATAAAATTGAAAGAAAAATCATAGCTTTATTTCTTTTCTAAAAAGGACCTAAAGGTTAATCAATTAAAATCTTGCCTCTGCTGCCAATGTTTTTTAAGTGGGAGAAATTACCTGTAGTGCTAGGCTAATGCTAGCAAATTCATGCCATGATTTTCCATGACCCTGAGCGTGTTCAATTTATATATTGACTAATGTAATTAAGAGGTGCTCTAGTTGACTATGATCA